CAATCATTAACATTAACTGAAATAGATAATTAGATAATTTTAGCTTATACGTCCATTATACATAAAACGCGCACGAGAAAACGTATTCTGCACTTGCGCACACTCATATGCGCAGTCGTAAAAGGTCTTACGCGCACGCGTAAACGCCTATGCGCATGTGTCAACGCGGCGCATGCGCAGAAAGTTTTTAGTTTTGAGGTCCGGATTATAGATCATTCCAAATTATGGGTGTCCGAATTAACGACTTTTGACTGTATTTAGTTGTATTTTTCTACGAATGAAGTTTTGTCATTTGTTTTCTCTTGTACTGTTTCAGTATTTAATAAGAAGATGAAAGGATTTTGATGAAAAGAATCTGGTCATTTCATTACATATACATTATGTCTGATTTAGGATAACAGTTTAAAATATCTTTCACTAATAACCATCAGCATAAGCATTCCATTTTAATAGGCTGATGCAAATATTCGCGTAAAGCTGTGCGAACTTTTTGTAGAATCCTGTTTCTTCTCCAACTTTTTTTTTTTTTTGTTATTTAAAGAAATATCTTAGGATTTATTTAGAAACCTATTTATACATTTTTGACTGCCAGATCAGCCATATTTTAGCATATGTGAATTTAGTTTTGATTGTAAAAAATATATATATATATATATATTGTTTAAGTGTTTCTGATATATGAATGATTTTTTTAAGATTCATATTTTTGAATCCCTTTATTATCAAGCAAAAACAACATCGTTTGAAATAGCGATCTTGTAAATTTATGTCAAATGTTAAATGTGCAGGATTCTTTTTGTGTTGTTTTTGTTATAATTTTGTACTAAATGACTGATGAATCTTGTGTCTTGGAATAGAAAAGTGAATTCAGGAAACTGTTCTACATTACTTGAGCACTGCGTGAAAATATTAAAATTTCAACTTGTAAAGTGAAATAAAATTACATTTTTAAGTTGCATACTTAGCTTTTTTTAACTTTCATATATTTTAATTTATTTAATGATGAATTTTAAAAAGTACTATAAAATATTGTTGCATTGAAGCATTGCTAGAATTTGGATGAAAAATATAATTTTTTATTACCTTTTATTTTAAGCTTTTTCTTTTGGGAGGGGCATATATTCTGAGTGTTAAAGAAGGAAAATGTTTCAGTTAATGGAATTTGTGAAAAAAAAATGTAGATGTGTTAATAAATGAAGAAGATAAAACAGAAGTTTTCTATTGTGATGATGAAATGAGAAAGCCCAATCAGCAATCACGGAACAGATGACAAAATCTGTACTCTGGTTTTAAATCTTGAAAATATTGCTACCGATAGTGACGAAAGTCACAGAGAAGTTTTGAGAATGAAGATTTCAATTGACAATTAAGTGGGAATTCTTGACATGGTAGTTACAGAACTTAACAATGACTGAAGAAGAAATTATGTCCATCTATAAAATTAAAGAAAAAGGCATTAACACAAAATATGAAACAACTTACAGTGAAAAAATTATTTAATAACACAAAATATAAATACCGAGCTATTTTTGTAAATTTTGTTTCCCAAATCTCATAATCAATTATTTCATATTTTAATTTCATAATTTTTAAATCATAAATGCTTCATTATTTCTTAAGAAATTATTTAATATTTTTAATTTTATAGTTTTTACATGCCATTCTACTAGATCTAAACTGATGATTTAAAATGTGGAATCGTTGAAGTCTCTAGAAATTGGGATGTCAGACTTGTACTGTATTTTCCATACTTTTCATTTACTAGTTCAAATTGATGGACTTAGTATGCTGTACAGTTGATTAAATTAATTTAATCAATTAAACTGATTCCAGATTTTAGCAACACACATCCAATAGGAACTGTTTATTTTAATTAAGGCTTGTTTGTTTTCAAAGTTCAGTTAATTACCTATTGTTGCGTGCGTACGGGTTCATTACGAAATGAATGCACGAGTCCGATGAAAAATGAAGAAAATTTATTATTATCACAACAAATATGCTTATATATCCTCAAATAATCGTGCAGTATCACAATATATCACAGTATTTATCTTCTAACTACTCAAACGTTCAAGAGAACTTAATTCAAAACAGTTAAAGAAAGCTAATTCGCGAATTCGCTACAGTCAACAAGAGCAGTTTTCTAAACAAACTCTTAAAACAACAACAAACTAAATTTTATAAAAAGGAGGAAAATAAAAATAACAACTAACTAAAAATAACAACTACTAACTGAAATGAGAGGTTTTCCTCCTTTTTATAAAATTTTAAATCGCACACAAGAACTTTCTGGAACTTTCTCAAAATCAAAAAGCAATTATTTATTTATTTATTAAATATTAAATGCACGTGCTCTTGTATTTTTAATTTTCCGGCTTAGTTTTCCTTTAATATTCGTCATGCACTGCACTGCACGGGAAATAAAACAATTTAATTTATAATTCAACTAACATCAGCTAATTCAGAAGTCAAACACAAAAATCAGCGTTAATTTACAAAATTTTCACAGGACTAAGTTTCGATGGTTTTACCGAACCATCATCTTCAGCTGCAAAACCATTTGCGGTTTTGCAGCTGAAGATGATGGTTCGGTAAAACCATCGAAATTAGTCCTGTGAAAATTTTGTAAATTAACGCTGATTTTTGTTGTTTGACTTCTGAATTAGTATTTATTCGGCGTGTTATTGTGTCTTAATTAACATCAGCTATTTAAATACTAAATCTGTAACAATATAAAGAATTGTATTTGTCCTTTAATAACTCAGTCACTACTATGGCTATCATCACCAAACATTCTACAATTCTTTTCAGAGTCCTGGAAAAGGTTGACGTTCACCTTTTTTCCCCAAAAAAGTAGCTAAAATCATAGATATTAATTAAAAGCTTGGAAAAACAGTAATTTTTGCCCTAATTTTTCAGAGTGGCAACAGTCTTGCATGCTGGAGATGAAAATCTGCTTAAATTTCGAGAAGCGTTGCCATTGGTCGCTTTCAAATTGTAGAATTTGTTAACAAAAAATTTCTAAGTTTTCTGATGAAATAAAAAAGGTGAATCTTCGGATTATGGTAACTTGGCGATTTTTTGGCAACCAACCCTGCTACAGCAACCTGCTAGTTTTTTTTTTTTTTTTTTTTTTTTTTTGGGTCGCCATTTTGTTTTTACGAAGTAAATGCATTTTTTTTTTTTTTAAACTCAACATTTTTTCTAACAATCTGCTAGCCGAGTTACGCTTATAATAGAATTTTTATGGAACAAAAATGCTTAATCATGACGAAGATTAGGTGCGAAATTGGGAGAAAGTGCAGAATTGCAAAATGCTTGCCACGTTTTTAAGAATTGCCAATACATGGTATCCATGTACACGTCGACCTATTTTCACTTAAAAAAACATCCCAGAATTGCACAAAAATGGCATTGCACACACTCTTGACTCAAATTCATGTACACATTGACCTAGTTTCACTTAAAAAGTCAAAGAAAATTGAGAAAAATCCAATTCTTCTTACTCTTGTAAAAAGCGGCAAACAAATAAGTGGGCGATTCAGCACTTTAGCAGCGAAATTGTTTCTAAGTGCTTATTAGCTAAAATCCCGATTGGAATTTTCTGGAAAATGTCACATTATATGTCTCATGATCTCCCATTTCTCTGAGACAAAATAATCTGTGATTCGAACTGTGTACTTCTCATATTATTGCTAAAGTCCTAGCTAGTAACCTTTATCGCCTTACCAAAATGTCACCAAACTACCTGTTACCATATTCCAAAGATTAGCCAAATAAAAATAGCATTGCCAAACATTAAATACGTTATTCTCGATTCCAAAAATTCTTAAGAAGCCATTTCGACTATTCCCATTTCCGTACGACTGTAATCAGCCGAGATATTAATTAAAAACTCTGAAAGCGCTAATTTTCCCACTCATTTTTGTAAGTGGCAATAGTCTCAGGCATTGGAGATAAAAATGCTTTATTTCAAAAAGTGTTGCTGCTGCTCGCTTTCAAACTGTAGTTTGTTAATAAAAAATTTGTGAGTTTTACAAAATCTATACATATAAAGAAGAATGTGTGTTGTTTGCGTTATTGATTTCTGATAAATTATGATAAATTTTTTGCCACATTTAATCAAATAAAATATAGAATATAGGTGAAATATTGGATGGAACTTGCGCTTTTGGGACCATTTGGTTAGAAAGATGAAAATCATTAAAAACTGTGTGCCATTGTTGCTGATATAATGAGAGAGAACTAGTTTATTTTTCTGCTGAAATTTTTTGTTTGTTCCATATCGCATCAGAATGAAAAATGTATGACTATGAATCGTATTTTTGCATCGCTATTAGAGAAGGATTATAGCGGTATCATTCTCTCTGTTGTTAGATACATTACTCTCAATTTAACTTGACTGGCATCGGGTGCTTCCGCTAGTTAGTTATTAATTAAAGTTTAACAAGAAACATTAGAGAACATATATGTGTGCTAGTTTTAGAACACATATGTGTACTAGTTTTAAAATTGCTAAAAGTTTTATAATTTGGTTCACTGGTCACTAGACAAACATGCTTTTGAACTGCAATGTAATGTTGCAAACATTTGTCTTTGGCGACTTCCTTTTATTACTAGAAATTAAAATAATGACTAAATTCTAAGTATTTTATTCTAAGATTCTATGTCAGTGTCAAAAACATAACAAAATCATACACAGAACAGGCAATCAATTAAGAATATAACTCTGTACAAAATTACATGTTCATGAGATTGAAATAGTAACATTATTTCCTTTTGGCAGCATTTACATTTAGCAAGTTCTTTGTATAAGTACCTCCGCTTAAATTCAGCATTTATGTACAAACATGTAAAAAAAAGTAGTTTGTTTAAATCACAATAGGTTCAGAATTTATTTTTTTCAATTTTGAAGTAGAATTGCCCATTTTATATAAGTATAATCCAACTGCTAGTGGAGAAATGTAACTTAAAACTATGTAGACATAAAAATTTAAAACCTTTGTATTCCACGGCCACAACCACAAGCCACGATGCAAGGAGTCACGCAAATGATGGGAAACAATGGCCACAAGAATAATCCACCCAATGTATTCTTGACTAGCACAGTTCTTGTATCGCATTGCAGAGATGTATGATGCTATTCCCAATATCATTAGGGTACTATTATGGAATGGTGGCCGGCATGGTAAACTTACAGCTGCCTAAAAAATAATAACTGATTTATATACATGCATCTTATATTACACATCTCATTCTTATTATCACTAAATGTATCTGTACTATGAAATGAATCTGTACATACACAGGCTCAGGTTCAGCATTTTCACTTCCCTAGACAATCAATAGAGTTGATGCTTCATATATATTAACATTTTAATATTTCAAACTGAAATATACCCTTACTCTGTAGATTAAAAAACTGTAATTTTTACGATCTCAAACATATTATAAATTAATTACGCACTTTCTGTTAGAATAAGTCATCATTGACAGCATCATTCTGCAGTTTCCGAGACATATTATTTTGACACTGTTTGATTATTTGCACCAAAATGTCACCAATTTGTTTGCAGTTTTGAAGAACATTTATGAATTCATTGGCAGTGAGTGCTATGGAGAAATATTTATTTAGGTATTTTTGGATTTATTTCAGTGATGCATCCATTGCCACATTTTTACATTCTTGTTTTTCTTTACAAGGCTTGCACACTTCTTGTTTTTCTTCACCGTGATTCTCCCCATGCACATAGCTTTAAAAGAAAAAAAAAAAGTATTGCATGAACTCAGCATTGGACACAACTTTGTTATTGCACATTACTCCAAAATCCTAAAACGAGAAGGAAAAAAAGAGGTGCAAGATGCCTTTAAGCGAATCACATTACACTCCATGCATGCAGAAAGCTGACATTTTGTTGAAGACTGCTATATGCAGTTCTTGTACAGTATGCTAAAATGCTACAATTCTCATAATAATTTATAATCTGCAGCCACACAAGTGGAAACGTTTGGAGAAATGGAAAGCCATTTGGAGATGATACTTCGGTTACCACATAAGTTAAGTTCAAGATTTTGCAAAGATGACAAGAACTGCAGCATGTGGGCCATCACCATGTTAAAATGCCAAAATTCTCACAGAAGGGATCATATTCTGCAATTATGCTGCCAAAAAAGTTCGGCTAAGCAGAAAATCATCTTGGGGGGGGGATACTTGACCTGTCACATAAATAATTTTTGTCAAAATCGTGGGATGTCATATTAATTCTTTTGATACTGTGACCATTGCCTTATCAGTACTTTTTGGTGGCTTTTATGTGGGGTGTGCATTAATCTGTTAATAGACACATGAGGAAATTCAATTTTTCAAGATTTAAATATGACTTTAAATTTTTATCAGTTTTAGCTTAGAATCACTCTTTTTTGTTGCAAATACTAATACTAAAATTAGAAAAAATTCTGTAGAGTAAAAAATTATACTTTATGATAATCTTCTTGTAAATCACACATATAAATATAAGAGCCAATATTTTCTGGTGTCTTTTTTCCACTTCTGAAAATAAGATCCTATAAGCTGAATAATTCTATGGTTATCTCTTCAACACTAACATTAGACTGAAGGCTGTTATTGTTCCTTCAGTTACCATTTGCAATTAAAGCACATAGCAAATTTTTGCAATTTTCTGCTAATGAACTTCTATTTAGCCCCCCCTTTTTATTTCAAATTCATAAGCAAATCACCTTTCGAAACTGCTTTATTTTGATCTACTGAAGTTTTAATGAAATACTGTACAGTCAAAAGTCTTTAATCCGGACTCCTCGGGACTTCGGCTATTCCGGATTATCGATTTTTCCGGATTATAGATCATCAGTTTAAATCTGGTAAGATGGCATGCAAAAATTATAAAATTAAAAATATGAAACCGTAACTTATGAAATAAAGAGCAATTATGATCTAAAGGGTATCAAAATTCACAAAAAAAAAGCTTAACATTTATTTGTTTATTTTATTAAACATTTCTTTCAACGCGCGCATGCGTAAAGCATACATTACGCATAGTCGAAATTAGAAAATTGCAACCAGAAAACTATTTGATGTGTATTCGTGATATTTATAATGACGAGGAATTTGATTTAAATCATATCAAAGACGAAGTACATCGAGATGAAATACTACATTTAGTGGTAAGGAATTATAAGCCGAATAAAATAAAAACATCTGCCCTGAAGATAAGGATAGTGCTGACGGATCAACTTCCAGTTCATTGCGCGCCACTACGTTTCCCTCCCCCCCTCCGCAGAGCAGCGTGAAATTGATAAACAGATTTCGGAACGGTTAGATAAACAAAGGATATACCTTTATCCATTTTTTGTAGCAATTCGTTTTTTGTTTGATGGACATCGAATCATACTTTCGTTTTGTAGATCCTTTGGGAGCTCCAGCATTGGAAATTCTATTTGACATAATCGAAAGTTCAAGCTTACTTTTATAAAATTGCTCTTACAGTCTGCAAAAAATAATAAGCTGGAACCAATTCGAAGATTAAGGAACAACGCAATCATCAACATTAACTGAAATAGATAATTAGATAATTTTAGCTTATACCGTCCGTTATACATTAAACGCGCACGCGAAAACGTATTCTGCGCTTGTGCAGTCGTAAATGTCTTGCGCGCACGTGTAAAACGCCTATGAGCATGCGTCAACGCAGCGCATGCGCAGAAAGATTTTAGCTTTGAGGTCTGGATTATAGATCATTCCGGATTATGGGTGTCCGAATTAACGACTTTTGACTGTACTAAAGCAAAATAATTTTAACAGTAAAGATGCAAAGAATTATAGATACAATTTTTGACCAGAAATAAAGAAGTGATTTGAAATGTAAAACCCCCATCCCTCGTAAAGGGAAAGCAAGTGCAATCGAACACTAAATGTACTCCGGCAAAATTATAAAGATGTATAGTAAAAGCTTAACTATTCAGAAAGCTAAAAAAATGCTGAATTCTGGATAGCTGAGTGGAATTCACATTAGAAAATTCATATTTCAATGGCATTCATATCAGGAAAGCCAAATTAGTGAGAAAAATTTCCGATTTAAAATTACAAAAACAATTATCTCATCTGTTATTGACTTGAAAATCAAAAGCCTACATTTATGATTAAGATTTAAAAGAAAAGAAAAGAAAGAAAATTTTAGTTTTATAAAAGTTAATGCAGTTCTTAAGCATGATCTGATTACGAAATCTCGCTGAAGTTGGCAGAGATGTTGCCAATTATTCCAGCAGAAGTTTAAACAAACATATCATTCCTTATTTAGCTAGATAATATGAAATAAAAATAGCAGATATATCATCTAAAAAACTAAAGTGGCTTATCACAACTTTTCATGTTACACTGCTATTGTTTATCGATTTTTAGATGGCATATTTTAACTGCTAAGATCTCGTAACTTTGAAAATAACTTCACTTCATGAAGTCCCAAACACTAGTTATTTGTTCAAAATGCAAGGAAAAAACTTATACCAATTTTTACAGAAATTAAACTAATTTCTCAAGAATTAATCAAATTTACATTAAACCAAAACCAACTTCTTATGACTATATTGTGACATTATGCTTATCCTATTATTGGGCCCACCAGCGGCCGAGCGGTAAAGTCGCTGAACACTGGTAGTTTCGGTCCGAGGTTCGAATCCCGCGAACGGGCTGGCTGCATGGATGTTTTCGTGGTTTTCCCCATGTGTAACGTGTATACGAGCCAGTTTTCCTTAGAAAGTCCTCCACGAAGGCATCCCTTCCTTAAGGCAGATAGCCCTCGAGTGCTTTGCCGTAATATAATAAAACCAACAATAAAACCTATTATTGGAGCAAAATCACATTGGTGGACGGCAATGTATCCATGTTAACAGTGTTGCAAGTTCTACAATGTCATTATAAATCTCTGATTTACTAAATTTTTGGGGGGGGGGAAATCTTTTCACTAAAATCCTAAAATATTCCAATTACTTTAGCTTTCCGGTTATCTGAAGGCCGGACAGTCAGGCTTTTATAGCAGTATAAATAACAAAATATTCCAATTACTTTAGCTTTCCGGTTAGCTGAAGGCCGGACAGTCAGGCTTTTATAGCAGTATAAATAACAAAATATTCCAATTACTATAGCTTTCCGGTTAGCTGAAGGCCGGACAGTCAGGCTTTTATAGCAGTATAAATATTAATCTCATCTTTAAAGAAAGAAATAGCTTCAGCATTTATTAATCAACCTTCCCATCTAACATGAAAACAATTTAAATGGTGCTTTTTATATATTGGACCCTACAAAGGTACATCGTACACTATACCTGCAGCAAGGCTCATATATACGCATAAACAAAATATGTTATTCATACTGAACTAGAAAAAAATATATATCATTAAAATAACATAATATTCTGTCTAGTGCTTTTTTGGGCTAGACTGGAGATTACGGGGCAGTTGCCAAATGTGGTTGCCTGTTTATATCATATCATGGAGAGATGTGCAATGTTTAATATGTGCAACACACACACTGATCTGTTTCTGATATATGAAACATCAGGGAACTACACAAATCAATTCACATTGTGAACAGCTTCGGCATTACATACATTAAACATGTAAAGTGCAGAATCGCCCACTTTTATGGTGCCTACCAATGTGTACATGGACAAAGTCAAGGAAGAGCGCAATGCCAAGTTTGTGCAATTCTCTGATACTTTTTTAAAGTGAAAAATAGGTTGATATGTACATGGATACCGAGTTTGTGCAATTCTTTTAACTTGTTATTTTCAAGTTGGCGATTTTGAGAAACGTGCGAAGCAGTGGGTGATTCTGCACTTTCCTCCATTAAACACTATACAGTACAAAATTCTTCCACTGCTATGGACTGTTAAAGAAAGAGTGAATAAGAAAAGCTAAGATTAAATTTACAAAAACCTGGGTATTTCTTTGTTATATTTTTACAGATAATAGTTATATGACTTACTGACAAGCTAAAAGATTTTGCTGCAAGGAAATGATCGATGTCTATTGCTCCAGCGCAAAAAGCACACATTAAAATATATGTAATCTTCTCAGAAGTGAAATTTTCAAAACTGATCACAATAAGCCAACTAATAGCTCCTAAACATATGTGAGTTAAATTGTCAACTACGGCTAACAGTATAGCTATCTTCTGAACTTTATCATGATAAAACACATAGTCACCAATACGTGAAAACATCCATAATAATATAAACAGAACAATCTGTTTGAGTATAAAATTCTGATGGTGAAGCCAAAATGAATTCATTGCCAAATTTTGATAAATATGACTGATACATAGACATTACGAACACAAAACTGACCGAGGGAGAAAACAGACGAAATACAATGGGTAATGCCAACTTATATTTCAATATGAGAGATAAAAGTGTTCGGAGGCTGCACATGTAGTTTTAAACTAGAATTTTTTACATTTATTACAAGATTAAAGTGCAGCATCATTTGCTATTTCGAAGAACAGTAATAGAATTATAAAAGAAATATAGCTATAAAGTAATAAATAAACTGTGCGTTTTGAAATTTGATTAATAGCAAGTCGCAGTTAAAGGGCAAATACTCTTGTCGAAGGTACTTTAAATCATTACCGAAGAAAGATTAAATGGATATTTCAGAGTCGTATGCTCTTTATTACCGCTCTTCGGAAAAGATAATATATTTTCTTATTCAGAGAAATCGATGAAAGGGGGGGGGGAATCTCAATGATATACATTCCGGTGACGTCGGAAGTCACGTGATGTAAGACATAACAAACAAGCTTGTGCTGCGGTAGATGTGTTGAAAATTCGGAAACTTTGCTTATTTTTAATTAGTTATGAAATTTGCATTTCAACTTTAATTATTATTTCATCCATTAATCGACTTTTACCACATTTATGGTGCGTTATTGCATATTGTGATTGATTTACCTAATTACACATCATAACAAGTTACTTTCATAATGCAGAAAAGTGAAAATTGCACCGTAAATACAGCAGAATTTTATTATGCAAAATTTTAAAAAAATCAGTCTTAACCTATGCTTCAGAGACGTGAACTCTGACTATGAAGGAAGAAAGAGCCTCGGCGATCTTTGAAAGGAAAATTCTGGGCTGTCCTGGCAATGCTGATGATGAAAGTAAGTAAAACTAACGTCTGTCTGAATATTTGAAAAATCTCAATAATGAGATTTTTTTCCTATTTCCTGAAAATGCAGCGCATATTTTCTGTTACTCAAGTAGTAAGGATGCAAAATATTACATTGTTTGCATAAAATAATAATGTAGTATTTCACCTATTAAATTCAACAAAATGCTTATCACTCTAAAAAATTAAAAGGAGTGGTCAAAGCCATAAATACTGCAATTGTTTTGTTGAAATGGAATGAACTGGTTGTATCAGTTTGTATAACATGGGCTTTCTGTGGTTGCAATTTCAGTACTAACAGCTTTGACTTACTGTCTACTTTCATGCAAACTTTGCAAAATTAATTGTTCTAATCCATTTCTAATCTTGACAACCTGTGGGTCACTAAGTGACCTTTTTGAATTCCAATAATAATGTATAATATACATAAAAATAAATTACAAAACATACATATCAAACAAACACTTGAAGATTACATAAAAAAATTAACTGAAAACAAATAATACAGAACATTGTTTATGCATCTTTAAAAGGATAAATAATCGGTTGCAGTTTGATCAGAATATGGTGCTATGCCTCAAATAATAAGAAGAAATAATTACCAGTAAGTGTCGGAATTTGATAGTGGCAGGATCGTTGCCTATCGAGAGTGTGGATTATTATTCCGTGATATCGCCCGTCGTACTGGTCGACATCCAAACACAGTCATGTGAATATGAAATCAATGGGTTGATGAGTGTCATACTGAATAGCATGCATCATCTTGTCGCCCTCTCATGACTAACACTCGAGAGGACAGATATATTGTAAGGTCAGCCCTGAAAAACCATATAACGATATCACGGATCATTAGTCAGGAAATGGGCATGTTTGCAGCATGCCCAGTATCCGTTCATACAGAGTGTCGACTTTTCAGCAGCGTGGACAATCATCAGGGCGATCATTTTTTCAACTTCCCTTGAGAATGCAGCATAGAGAGAGATAGCAACTCTAGTGCATTGAACGATAAAGCTGGATGCAGGAGTGGCACAGTGTGATCTTTTCAGACGAATTCCGGTTCTGCATACAGTATTCTGATCGACGTGTCTAGAGGCTTCAAGGAGACCGCTCGTCACTTGCTTGCATTCGATGTCAACATAGATGCCCTTCACCTGGTGTGATTGTTTTGACAGCCATTGGGTATACAACACACACATCTCTAGTTCAGATTGGCGATAATTTGATCGGTACATTTCTGACATCTTATGTCTAGTGGTTGTGCCCTGTCTTCGAGGTCTGCCAAACGCCATGTTCTAGTTTTATTGTTAAACAGTTCAGTTTTATTGTTTCAACTTATAAATGAAAGAAATTATTTTCACATATGAAGTTCTCTTTAAGTAAGAACAAGACTAGGTTAACTACCAGATGTTTGTGTTCGTCTTAAGAGTCCAACTGTAAGCTAGACTTAAAAAAATTAACATCATAAGTTTGAACTGGAAAAGCCGGTGATATCAAAGAGAAAATAAAGTTCATTCAGTTATGTTTGTTTTTATAATAATTTGAATTATAATTTTTATGCTTTAATTTTAAAGCATATTGTAATTATTTTCTCAATAAAAGTTATCTTATTAATCACCAAAAAAGGACTGTTTTAAAATGCAAATAACATTAACCCAAAACACCTTCTGAATACTGGCTTGAATATACAGATTATAATACAGATTGATTATTTTTATGACATAAAATTCAGAATTATTTATATGCAGTAATTTATATTATGCCTGAGAGAACCCATATATATTTATTTTTCTGCTCTTATACAAATTTTTAAAATTAAATTTACTGATAGAAAAGACAGAATGTTAAAAAAAAGCCAAGTTTAATATTATTTTAAAACTATGTATTTTTTTAAATAATTTTAAATGAATATGAAATTATGTAATATTTTTTAAATAATATTAAATCAGTATGAAGATTTCATGTGACCTCGTTTTACTTCAGATTCGACATTCTGATTTGATGACTACCAACGTAAATGCGAAATTTCTTGGCAGTTCCTATGATTCATTTTGCGAGGCGATCTTCAGGAGTTCGGCATGCACTTTCCATGCGTCATGAATCTGGCTCTTGGCTTTTAGGAAAGTCTTTTTTTAGTTTTGTGAGATACATAAATTGAAATTGTTTTGTGTCAGTAATTTATGTAAAGTTCCGCTGTTTTCATGTGGTATATATCTCTCTAGTTAATTTATATTAAGACTTTAATTGCAAAATATTTTTAAATAAATTTATCAATAAATTACTTTTTAGAAGTGTGAAAAAATATTTTAGTAGTTAATATTTTAATAATTTAATATATTTTCAGGTGATGCAGGCTCCTTATCCTTTGACTCCTGTCTTCCCCAACTGTAGGATCTGCTAATGAAAGATATAACAAGAAGCATGCAACAGCCAGAAACTGCATTGAAAGATGTATTGGGGTTTTGAAATCAAGATTTCGCTGTCTACTGCATGCAAGAGAATTAAATTATGAACCAACAACTGCTGGGAAAATTGTAAATGCCTGTGCAGTGTTGCATAATATTTGCAGGCATTACAAATTACCTGATATTGAAAATGATTGCAGAGAAGAACCATGGGGACCAATTCCACCAACAGTTTTTGAACCATCATTAAGAGCTGCTGCTCTTAAAATCAGAGATAATTTAATTTTAACTCGTTTTTAAAACTAATGATAATAAATATTTTAATTGAATAATATGTATTTGATTTAGATTTTGAAGTTATAGAAGCACAAATAATACATATCCAAAATATTTATCTTTTTTTAATTATTATTAAATCAATTTTATTACAAAAATACACATTACAGATATTTTAGATTTTCTTTTCTCATTTGAAAATTTATTTTTTGATTATCAGTCTTAACTTTTTTATTTTTTAAATGGAAAAATTTTTCCGTCCACGCACACTGCTTTTCTGCAGCCATTGCTTGCCTCTCAGTTGCCAAAACTAGTCTTTCCGTTGCAACAGCTCTTCTTTCTGCTTCAGCTGCTTTTATTGTATAAAACCCCAGCTTCTGTTTATTTTGTTTATGGTTTATTTCGCTAATTTTGAATTGTTTGCACAACAAAGCACCATCGCATGATCAGGGATCTTATTGTATGATCTGGGTCAATGTGAAACATTTCTGCATAATGTTACATTTGCAAAACCATCTTATCGTCAAATTTTGCATACCAGTATAATGTTAAAATATTGAACAATAAGCTTTGTTTTATGTTTCAGATTAATATTTCCAGATATGCAATAAGTAAAATGCTGTAAGCAAAAATGTAAAGTAACCCAGGTCAATGCGTACCATCTTTCCAGATGGCTTTCCATTTCTCCAGATCTTTTTGTCAGTGTGACTGCAGAGTTTGATCGCTCCTATAGGAATTGCAGCATTTTAGCATAGCAGTGAAGCACATCCCGCAGTTTTTGCCATTCTCGGCAAAGCCTCAGACTTAAATTCCTACACATATACAGCACAATATGCCTCGCTTAAAGGCTAAGTGAACCTCTTTTTGAGCTGAGGTTGTATGCAATGCCAAATTTGTGCAGTTCTGTGATACTTTTTTTAAACAAAACTGGTTGCTGTATACTCAGGAAGAGCAAAAGCACACACACACACACACACACAAATAAAAATTAAAAAAAAAGTGTGCATGTTTCATATGAGAAAAGAAGAATGTAAATAGAATAGACAGCGTTGGATATGTCACTAAAATAAATGCAAGCATTCCCAACCAATCGTTTCTTTCTACACTGGTGTGCAAAGATTAAGGACGAGACGGTTTTTTCAATATAACTTTGTACAAAAGCTTTCCGAATCAACACATTTAATACCGTAAGATCCCCAATACGTAAGGACATGAGTAATGTAAGCAACACTTACTAACAGAGAAATCAGAGGGATAAAAAGAAGCTTTATTGAAAAAGTAGCATGGAGCGCAATGCGACTGAAGGCCGAAACATCCCTGTGATGGGTGACCAGCAAGAAACATCCGGTCTTTAATAGGGGATATGATCTCCCCTGACTGGATAGGCAGGTTTCACAGCGTCTGCCCATGCTGAGAATGAGGGTGTCAATGAGTTGTTGAGGCATTGCTGCCCATTCGTCTTGCAGCGCCAATCGAAGCTCCGGAATCGTTACTGGTGGTAAGGTACGAGCTGCCAAGCGTCTGCCTAGAAAAT